AGCATTCATTTTACATTAGGAAGTGACACATTTTAAGCATATTAGCAGGACTTTTGTTCCACTCTGTCCACTAATGCTTCTGTTACCATGCTTTGCTTGCAGACAGCTGAGATAAAGTTCTGCCAATTAGTTCTCCTTTAAGCAGGATGCAATGTACTGGCTTTGGGTCCAATTCAGATTTTAAGTCAAAGACAGTACCAGCTTTGAACAAAACAGCCTCGGGAGGGTTCACTTCTTATTTATTGTGTGAAGTCTATCTAATGAGTGACAGCAGAAGTGCTGGTTTTTCGAGGTCGTAACTCTGCATATAACGATTCTCCCACTCATATTTTCAGATCTTCCTTTCATGCTTCTATACTTCAGGTGTGCTGTTACGAGAAAACCTATTTATTTGGGTGTTGGAAATGCTCTCTTTAATCAGAAACCTGTACTGCATTTGCAGACTACACTAGGCAGTAGATGGCAGGAATCCAGAAGGGGTCAGACACACCAGTAAGTGTGCTGTATGCACACCTTCTTGCTGCCTGCTGTGGTCTCTACTGGCTATTACCTGCCACGTGAGTCACCTACAGATATTGCCACCTGCCTCTCTGGGTCGTGTCTGTAAGTACAGAGAGCAAACTGCTTCAGCTCTTGTTCCCCCAACACTGCCACATAGCAAAGGGAGCTGGGCTGGGCTGCCAGAATGCTCAGCTTCATCTGTTTGCTCCACAGGCACCACTACGCCACCTCTACCCCTTCTTCCTTCCTTTCCATGGTCACATCACTTCCTATTCTTCACCCTTAGCCTCATCATTTGGTAAAGCACCATCCAGGTGCCCTCTATGCATTCTCTCCCCTCTTCTACTCTACCAGTGGCAACAACATCAAGACAGTGCACAGCTGCTTCTCTCACCACCCCCTCCTCCTGTCTCTGGTGCTTTCTCTGCACAGATTGTTCTCTCTTGAATTGCTCTGTTTGCTTCCACTTCCCTCCTCAAACGGTCCCAGAAGTCAGCCAGCTTGAAACAACCTGGGCAAGTGTCACATACCAGCTATGCCTATGCCTGCAGTGTATACAAAAACTTAGTATAAGATGCAAACCTTTCACCATGCTCAGACAGGGCACGGTTCTCAGATCAGGAGTGCTCAGCCCACTGCCCACAGCAGCACCTGCCATGCCAGGACAATTACCCTAGCCTTCACATCTCCTTATTCCAAGATGCACATGGGGAAAAGGCTACAGACAGACCAGTTCTTCCTCATTTCTCTTTTTCTTAGACTACACTGCAGCTTGAACAAGTGCAGTGCAAATGTTACATGCCTGTGTGTCACTCTGACCCCCTAGGAAGCATCAGGCTTGCTGTGTGAGGACAGCTGGTCTGTCATCTGTTAGGTAATGGTCCCTAAGGTGCAGCCTTTCCTTGACAGTGTCAAAAGGTTAGGGATCCCGATGAGTCTACGGACTCCTCTAGGCTAGGACTACAGCTTCTCTCCTGCTGCATGGAGCCCACTGAGTGTGCTCTGTGTGGTGCTGGGGTTTAAATGACTTTATCCCTGGGATACCCTGTTCAGCAGCAGGTCTGACACAAAAGCTACCTGTTGGAGGTACCCATCTGCCAAGTGTGTGCAGGCTGCTTTCCCAGCCTTGCAAAGTCCTCAATCTGCATTTAAATCAGTTTTAAGCAGAAGGTTAAAGCAGGAGTAAAAGAAACATCTGAGGCCTGGGCTTTCCAAGCAGACAGTTTAGAGTGGTATTCCCCTAGAGCACCAGAGCAAGTCTTTTCTCCCAAGGACGGTAAGGCTGCTGGGTGTGAGCCTGTATTTTACACCACTACTGGGAGGAGGAAACCCCAGGAAGCATGATCAGGCCTGGCCTGACTTCAGAAATGCTGCCACTCCATCCTTTCAGCAACACACACTATACTCCCAGAGGGGAAGGTAATTACATGCCAGGCAATTCTGCTGCTGCTGCACCTCCTCATGAAGCAGGCAGCTCTGCTGGTCCTGGGCTGCCCTGCCGGGCTGCCTTTGGTGGCACTATCACTGCAAAAGCTCCTCGGTGCAGCTGCTTCTTGCAGTTCTCACTAGCAGGCATAGACTGAGAGTGGATACAGACTAAGAGCAGATACTTGTTGCTTCCTCACCTTTCCAGACTCTTTGATTGAATCTGAGCAATTTCTCCTCTCCCCTGCATTCAGCAGCACCTCTTCTCTGACACTTTCCCTCCCTGAAACAAGAAATGTCCCCTTTAAGCATTCCTGCAGCCCTTCTTCCCTCCCAGGTACCAGGAGGTGCTTCAGAGGTCCTCCACCACTGCCAGCAGAGGTGAGCACAGGGATGGCAGAGCGGGGGCTGCAGAACAGCTCTGCGAGCTGTAACGCCCCTCTCTCATCAGTAAGACCCCATTGCCAGCACTGCTGCCTCTCTGCTCTTCAAGGGCAAAGGGACTTCACCTTCCTCTCTTTTGCCTCTACCTTTATCAGACTTTCTGGAGCCTGGTTGAACACAGAGGGAGAGCCACTGCAGAGAAAAGGATCTGCCCAGATGTCTGGGTTACACAAGCGAGGGAAATGATGCTTTCTCTGCATACATAATCAGGCCCGACATAGCCTAGCCTCGAAGTGGATTGCTGAGTTTGTGAGATTTCTTCTCATCAGTCTTCTCCATGACTGAAGGCAAAGAATTAACCATTTCCGTTTCAGAAAATGTGCTGCACTTGAGCACAAGACCCTAAACAACGTCTCTCTCAAATTCACAGCATCCCACAAAGCTAATTGCTCAGACCCCACCAACTTCAGGGCTCTTTGTCTAACACTAAGTGTGTTACCTCTACAGTTTCCTAATATAAAAAAATTAAAGAGTGGCTTCAAATAAAAAAATGAAGAGCTCTTTTATCAGTGTTCTCATCACATTCCATGTCCCCAAGAAAGCCTGGCTGTACGAGTCCTCCCCTAACTGTACCCAACTAGTTTCCCTCTCCGTGCAGTCTCAGGATGAACATTCTGAGTTTCTCACGCATGCACATACTGTGCATTTTTTCAGCATCCTGTCCATGTAACCATGTTTTCAGGTTTCACTGCAACCATTGTCCTCAAACATGCACAGAACAAGCTGACACACTGACAACCTGGTGTGAAGCCACTCAACTCAGCAGTGCTACACCACCAAATGCTTTGGACAGTCCTGTTAAAGTCCTGTTAAAGGCTATTGCTTATGCCACTGCTCTAATCAAATGGATGAGAAGTGTCCACGGCCAGGCTGGATGGGGCCCTGGACTGCCTGACGTGGTGGGGAGCTGTCCCCACAATGGGACTGGGGGGGCAATCCAAGCCATTCTGTGCTTCTATGAAGTGGATGTCTAAGCTCTTGAGAAATGCATGCCACAATTGGTACTTTGGATTGTTCATCAGTTTTAACCAGTTCTTAGAATGAGAGCATTAGGTCTGTAATTACAACATGGTATTCTGAGGGAGCTGGTGCAAGTAATCTGCAAAACACTCATCAAGTGACTTTTCCTGTCTGTGCATGTAAGATTTTGCTCCATTTAATAGAAATACAAAGGCAAGCTTAGCCACATACGTTTTCATGACACCTTCTTCATACAATCATAATGGTTGGAAAAGACCTATATGCTCATCCAGTCCAACCATCCACTCACCACCATACTGCCCACTACACCAAAGTACCACATCCACGTGTTTCTTGAACCCCTCCAGGGGCAGTGATTCCATCACCCCTGTGGGCAGCCTGTCTCCATGCATCACTGTCCCTCCTGAAAATAAGTATTTCCTAACATCCAACCTGATATCACTGGATAATCTTGAGAGAGTCTCGGTCAGTTCCTGCAGGAGAGATATTGAGATTGAAGCCTGTCATTACTGAGGAAACCCAAAAAGCTCCCAAGGGATGAATGAGGAGAACAACCTCATCCCTCCAGGTCTGGGCTGAGTACACCGATGTAATGCATCACAGACACCTCCTGATCCCCCATGTGTTCTGGGGGTAAATACAGGACTTTCCAGCTCTCTGAACTATTAGCCAGTCTGCAAAATTTTATTACAAGCCAGGAAGAAAAAAGAAACACACAAAGAGCATCAATTCATATGCAGCGCAGTAATTGCATATGTGCTGCTCAGAGACAGGCTTCCCTTCACATCTAATTAAAATTTTTTCTGTGAATTAATTGCTTGAAGAATGTTATTTTCTAAGCCAGAGGAATTAAGGTGGACAAAACACCCAGAAGTTGACGGACGCCTCCAAACTCTGCCGTACTGCGCCCTTTGCGTCCTGCTTCACCTGATACCGCCGACAGCTCCAGCCCTCCCCCGACTCCTTCTGTCCTTGGGATCACCGCTGCTCTCCGAGGGCCGGAGGTGCCGCAGTCCGAGCAGCCCCCGCAGCCCCTACGGGAGGAGGGCACTGCTCGGAGCTCGGCTCGGCCGGGACGGGGATGCCGATGTGATGCTCGCGGGCACCTGCAGCGGTGTTCGCCCCAAGCCTGAAACTTCCCCCTCACCTCGTTCTCTTTTTCTCGCAGTCTGCCTTCCCCAGCACCTCTGCACTGTCTCTGTCCCCTTGTTAAGTGAGAAACCCCACCGAGGACCACACGGAGGGGCTTCCTGCGCCGAGAGACCCCTAGGCGGATCCTTCCACGACCCCCGTGGGGCACGGACCCCAAACCCGATCCCCTCTGTCCCCTCCGCTCCGCCGCCCAGTTCGGAGCGCTCCGTCCGTCCGAGCTCCGCCGGCCGTCCCCAAGGGCGGCCCCGGGGTCGCGCTCCCATCGCTGCCGGCAGGGCGGGCAACGGGCGGGGACGGCGCACTCACGTTTTTCGGGACCGCTTCACTCCCAACGGCCGAACGGATGACTGCAGAAACTTGGTGACGGGCTGCGAGCCGGGCGGGACGGCGCTGCGAGGGCAGAGCGGCGATCCGCTCGCGGCGCCCGGGAGCGGAGCAGCAGCCCGGCGGGTGCCGCTTCCCTGCAGCCCGTCGCCGGGGCTCGGCGCGGCACTCACCTGGCAGCCCGAGGCAGAGCAGCAGGCTGTAGTAGACGACGGGCGCGTACCCCAAGCCACAGCCATAGCGGTGGTGCGGCACCAGGGAGCCGTTGTGGAGGTGGAGGTGGTTGTGCTCCATGGACCCGCTCTCCCCTCGGCCGCGCCGCCAGCGTTCGCTCCGCCGCCCCGGCCGCGCCGCCCGCCCGCCCGCCCCTCGCAACTTTTTTTTTTTTTTTTTTTTTTTTTTTTTTTTTTTTTTTTTT